CCTTTCCTGTTCTCAGAATTCGTTTTTCATTATGCATACAATCGTGTGTACCTAATCGATTGGATTTTCATGATCGCGCGAGTATTGTTAAAATATACAAAGATTTGATTTGATTTATATATATATATATATATATTTTTTTTTTTTTTTTTTTTTTTTTTTTTTTTAATAAGAGACATAGATCACTCGCTCCGTGTTCACGCCGTCATTGAATGATGGCCCAATAAGCACTAACTGTGCTTTATGACGACAAGACGGATAAGAAGAGACGTCTACGGTAAAGGACGTAGCCCATTTTCAATTCGCAGATTACGTCGTTATCTCTTGTGCTCGTATGAAATTATAAGTTCTTTTTTGCTTTTTTTTTTTTTTTTTTTTTTTTTTTTTCCATTTCACGCGGAACATACAAAAGGGCAAGTTCGATATTATTACGATACGCAATTGCTTTGCGTTTGCTCGTTCACTTGCGTCGGCTTGTGTTAATGGTTGAAAGAGGTTAAAGAAGTTGGTGGCCCGCTTTTGGTAGAGGTCAGACCGAAGAATTTCCACTTGGACCACCCGGTGGTCCGCGATAGATTTTATGTTCTCGATCTTACGAAGGAGAAAAGAACGCGTGCGAGACTCAACGCAGACGCCGCAACGAGTTGCTGCTGCTAGTCGCTCTTTTACTTATCTCCTCCTTTCGTTCATTGACTCGACGATTGACTCCGAGTCTCGTAAGAATTTTCAATTCATATTTTCTTTTCTTCCCTTTGAAGTAGCAAGGGAAAAAAAGGAATTGAAAGAGAGAGAGAGAGAGAGAGAGAGAGAGAGGGAGAGAGAGAGAGAAAGAGAGAGAGAGAGAGAGAGAAAGAGAGAGAGAGAGAGAGAAAGAGAGGCGGGTGGGCGGGTGGCGATGAGAGGAAACAAAAAAGAAAAAAAAAAGGAAAAGAAAAATTTCGATCGATAAAAATATCCCTTTGTATGAAAGTACATTTCAATAGGAAAAAAAATGATTTATCGATTGAATCTAAAAGTTTCATTAATTTTTTTTCTTTTTTCTTTCAAATAATTCTCTCTTTTTTTTTTTTTTTTTCCTAACTTTTTCACACTACGTACCTGTCCTTTCTTTTCTTTTTTCCTTTTCCTTTTTTTTCTTTTTTTTTTTTCTTGGGTTTGATCATTTCTTTTTTTTTTTTTTTCTTTATTATCCTCATATAGAATGCACATCGTTGGACCCGATGATTTTCTTTATTTTTCTTTTCTATTTATTTATTTATTTATTTATTTATTTATTTATTTATTTATTTATTTAAAAAATTTTTCATAAGCTATCACGCTTTTAGATTATTTTTATTTTGCTTGTTTGTAGAACGGATTCGTTGAGTGTTTGAAGCATCAATGTCCCAGTACCGAAGGTTGTTATACCCTACTGGAATCCCGGGACGACGAGTGTTGCCACAGGTGCAAAGGTACGTTACGCTAATGAAGATAATCAAGCTAAAAGGCGAGGGCAAGTTAGCGACACTGTCCTGAGTCTTTTTATATTCCGAGGAAGAGAGAGAGAGAGAGAGAGAAAGAAAGAGAGAGAGAAAGAGAGAGAGAAATAGAGAGAGAGAGAGAGAGAAGGGAGTTCAAGGAGTGGGAAGCATTGTTTTAAGGCACAAAGGCTCTTCTGTTCGTCGACACCGCGATAAACTCGAGGAACTGTTTACGCTAAGACTCGCTGACAGATGCTCCGTCCTCTTATCAATCTCTATTAATTATGTTAATTGTGACGTAAGTAAGTCCCGTTGTCGAGCTCGCTTCATTCTCCGATGACAAAACTTAGAGGATGATACTTCATTGGAAAAATACTCAATGCTCTTCTTTTAATCATCCCATTCTCTTTCTTTAATTTCTCTAAAAAAAAAAAAAAAAAAAAAAAAGAAAAGAAAAAAAATCCAAGATTTACCATTGAACAGGAAGTATTATATTATTTTGATTATTATTTTAACACGTTAAAATGCGATTAAAATAAAGGCTGCCTACGAAATGGAGTTTATCACGAGTCCGAGACAGAGTGGACCGAAGGAAATGACCCATGCCGGATCTTCACTTGTAAAGCTGGGGTTATCACCGAATCTAGGCTACGATGTTACACGCCTTGTTCAAAACCAATACCAGCTGCGCCTGGACAATGTTGTCCTGTATGTCCAGGTATTATATATTTCGTTATACGAAATCTATAATAGTTAACAACTTTTGTTTACTTTTCTTTCTGTTTTCTTTTTTTTTTTTTTTTTTTTTTTTTTAAATATCTTAATCCTTAATCACAGGATGTTACGTGAACGGTCAAAAAGTAACGGCAGAGAGATCTGTCACCACAACCGAGGATCCTTGTGTGACCTGTAGATGTAACATGGGACGATTAACTTGCGCCAAACAAGCCTGTCCTGTTCTTCATTGTCCAGCTTCTAGAATCGTTCATGAATCCGGAGATTGTTGTCCTCATTGCAAAGGTGAAAAGAAAAGGAATTATTGCAATATTTTGAATATTTTTTAACGTTATCATAATTTTATTAATCTAATAAATCATCGATAGGCAGTGGAAGATTTCTATCACCTCCTAAAGGTGCTTGCATGTTGGGTACAGCCGTTCATAATTCTGGTTCTCAATTCTACGTCGACGAGTGTACACGTTGCATTTGTACCAATTCCGTGATATCATGCACAAAGGAAACATGTCCGGTATTGGAATGCACCAGCGAGCATCAGATAACATTGCCAAGTCGTTGTTGTCCTCAATGTCCTTTAGTCGAGGAAAGTCGGGCATCTTGCACGTACGGCGGCAGAACTTATGGGGCGAGTATTGTATCTCTATAAATTCATTGGATCTAACATGGATCATTTAGAAAGAAAAAGAAAAAGAAAAGGAAAAAAAAATCGTTATTAATGTTGACGGCAATCGAGTTTAAATGTTTTTTTTTTGACCTAGGCAGGATGGCGAAACTTGGAAGCTTGATTCCTGCAAGGCATGCGCTTGCATGCAGGGTAAGGTACGATGCGCTATGCCGATGTGCCCACCATTGAACCTACCGTGTCCACCAAATTCGAGATTGGAGCATCCCGAAGGACAGTGTTGTCCTCGTTGCGTGGAAAGTGAGTTTATTTGAAATCTATATATCGATATATATATATATATATATATATATATATATATATATATATCCTAGAAAATTGTTTAACAAGTGACAAAGAATAAATGAATATATCTTGGAACAGGTGATGGTGTGTGTACTGTGTTTGGTGACCCCCATTACCGCACCTTCGACGGTAAATTCTTTAGCTTCAAAGGCGCGTGCAAGTATCAATTGGCTAGCGACTGCGTCGGACATACGTTTAGCATACGCGTGACGAATGACGCAGGCTCGACGAGATCTTCGGCATGGACGAAAACGATAGCCATGAAGGTATATAAGATATATATTACGCAATAGAATCTGTCCCCGTTAGAGAACATGTCATTTATTTATCGTTCATTATCTATGAATTCCCCACATTAAGATCGGCGATCTTAAGGTGAATCTGGGTCAGAAGATGAAGGTAAAAGTGAACGGTAAGAAGGTCGACGTGCCGTACAGCGTGCCAAACAAGCTCGACGTTAACAGAACGGCCGACAGCATAATCGTAAATACACAGATTGGTATTAAAGTTCTTTGGGATGGTATAAGTTTCCTTGAGATATCAGCGTCTACATCGTACAGAGGTAGATTATGCGGATTATGTGGAAACTTCAATTCTTTACCGAAAGACGATTTCACGACACGACGTGGTAGATTATTACAAGATCCTCAACCGTTCGGTCAATCCTGGGCCGTTGGGGCAAAGAAGATGTGCTCTCGTTCACGGACAATTAATCCAGAAAGGGAGAGACGTTGTAGAGGGAGAAAGGATCATCGGTAAAGATCAAATTGAACGATTTTGTTTTAAAGAAACAAAATCTTTTTTATTAAATTATAATATTGTAATAGATATTAAAATGAAATAACGTATTCCTCCTCTTACAGATTGTGCAATCGCTTAAGGTCGCAGATCTTTGATCCCTGCCACAAGAAAGTCAATCCAACGATGTACTATAAAGCATGTCTTCAGGATATGTGCGAGTGCCCGACCGAGCACTGTTATTGCGAATCTTTCATGGCGTACGTTCACGAGTGCAAGAGATTGGGTATACAGTTGCCACATTGGAGGAAATCTACGAGATGTCGTACCGTTTGGGATCAATCGAATGATCCTGTGCCTTTGAGCAAACGTTTGCATTAACGTTTGCTTTATATTGCGAAAGAAGTCGATGGACGATAACGTGTATATTTTCTTTCTTTCTTTCTTTCTTTCTTTTTTTTCCCCCCTTTTTCTTTTCTTTTTCTCTTATTTTTTGTGTCTTTTTTTTTTTTTTTGATGTAATTTTTTTCTCTCTCTCTTTTCTTCCTCCCTACTCGTGCATTTAGAGAAGAGACTCGTAGCGTGCATTAAGTGCACGCGTTTCCATAACCGTGCGGTTCCTCCTCTATATCATACGTTCGCATATCATTTTGTACGTACACACGCAATTTTTCTCTTCTCTATTTCCCCCTCTCTCTCTCTCTCTCTCTCTCTCTCTCTCTCTCTCCTCTCTCTCTCTCTCTCTCTCTCTCTCTCTCTCTCTCTCTCTCTCTCTCTCTCTCTCGTTCGTTCGTTCGTTCGTTAACTTTTTGACAGCGCTATACCTAATTCGTCTAGAAAGCATTGCAATCTGTAACACGATTATGTGCTCCAACGAGACGAAAATCTACTAGTCAGCATTTAAACGTCGATACTATTATACGCATTGATGGTGAACGAGCTCCTCCTCCTCCTCCTTCTGCTCCTCCTCCTCCTGCTCCTCCTCCTCCTGCTCCTCCTCCTCCTTTCTTCCCTTCCTCTCGTAGCGAATTATCAACGATGGTTCTCCAAGCTGATAAGAGTAATTTTTTTTAGATGGATTTCATTACGAAAAAACAAAAAAAAAAAAAGAAAAGAAAAAAAAAAGAAAAAAAGAGAACAGAAAATGAGAAGAAAAAAAAAAGAGAAAGAAAAAAAAAAGAAAAAAGAAAAAAAAGAAATGAGGAAAACGATAACGAGCAACAATGAAGACACCCAAAAGAAAATACTCAAAATTCAGCATGGTTGCCATGGGACTGCGTTTATCCATGACTCCACGAGAAGATTAAGATCTCCGTTACGTTCGAATTAAATTGAGAAAACTCGTCGAGATTTCTTCTCGCCAATGTCAATACGAAATCATTTTTTTTTCGTACCACGTTCACGAACGATAATAATGTGTTTTTTTTTTATTTTTTTTTTTTTTATTTTCTTCTCTTGCGAACGATTTTTTAAGCGACAATGCAACCAACATACGACGTAATTCATTTCTCTAGCGGCGATTTATTCATTTTAATGTTACAGAGCACCGTGCAGTATTTCGGCCGATGAGCAGGCTCGCGGCATAGCATGTACATATGCATACGTACATCCCCCCCCCCCAATGTAATAACATTCGAACGCGCATCGATCGAATTTTTCGATTATTTTAGAATTAAGAAGCGATTCTTTCTCTCTCTCTCTCTCTCTCTCTCTCTCTCTCTTTTTTCTTTCTTTTTTTTCGCGCTCTTTTCCTTCCGACGCCCGCGAGTATACTTTATATATAATATATATAATATATATATATATATATATATATATATATATATATATATATATATATATATGTATATATATTATCTACGTAACCGATAACAACGCTGACTTATTTTAGTTTAGTTCATTACGTATCGCAAATATTGTATATACGCTGCAAATGATATGATTTTTATTATTATTAAGTGAAGCGATCTCCTAGCCTCGACCTTTTCTTCTTATTTTTTTTTTCTTTTGTTTTTACTTCCTTTCTTTTTTATTTTTTTTTTGTCTTTAAATATTTTCTTTTCTTTTGTATACTCTCACTCTTATTCTCTCTCTCTCTCTCTCTCTCTCTCTCCTCCTCTCTCTCTCTCTCATCTCTCTCTCTCTCTCTCTCTCTCTCTCTCTCTCTCTCTCTCTCTCTCTCTCTCTCTCTCTCTCTCTCTCTCTCTCTCTCTCTCTCTCTCTCTCTCTCTCTCTCTCTCTCTCTCTCTCTCTCTCCTTCCCCTACTCATTTGCGTTTACAGCCGCTTTAAATAAGCTAAACTTTCTTCTAATTACTCGATTTAATCTCCAAAATGTACATAGAAAAAGTATGATGTAGTAATAGACAACGTTGCAAAAAATGAAGTATTCTTTTTGTTCTTTTTTTTTTACTCTTTCTCTTTTTTCATTAACTATATGTGTACTATCCAATTATTTAATATTAATTAGTTTGTAATTAAAAACAAAAAAGGATTATTACAAGTTAGATAACGTTTAATTAAATGTGTTGCCTAACGTCAGGGGCATGATTTCAAAATCGACCGCTAGATAGCGTTAATAATCGATAATATCGAACATCAGAACATCGAACAGAGAGAGAGAGAGAGAGAAAGAAAGAAAGAAAGAAAGAAAGAAAGAAAGAAAGAAAGAAAGAAAGAAAGAGAGAGAGAGAGAGAGAGAGAAAGTGAGAAAGAGAAAGAAAGAAAGAAAGAGAGAGAGAGAGAAAGAGAGAGAGAGAAAGAGAGAATTGAAATTTGAGAAATAGAACTAAACAATATTATATAAATATTAAAATGTATAGAAAAGTATTGATCCGATTTGTACTTTTAATTGGATAGAGTTTACAGACAAAGCATCTGTGTTTATAATAATACATCCTTGTCTATTATAAATCGTAGGTAACCTTTATAGTATAGATCAAGGTAACCTTTCATTTCATTTTGATCGCACGTCGTATAAGCATCGTCGTATCTTTCTCTTCCTCTCTTCGAAAGATTTTTCATATTTTTCTAATATTACGTATTCGTAATATTTTTGAACAATTATTTCTATAATTCGGTATCACTTGCGATGTAAAATATATTAGAATATAGAATTGTAATCCAACGCAAATATCATCGAATTACATTTAATTTTATTACTCAACAATGATTCAGTTTGCGTGATCGTTCAATATTAGTAGCAACTTATATTTTGTATTTTTATTAAACTAAAGTATACTATTTTAGTATTTATTTAATAATAGATTTTTGAAAGTGCTGCGAAGATTTCTTTTCTTATCATTAGATGTCGTAATATATTTGAGTAACGCTGTATGGCGTTAGACGTCAACTTGACTTGGATTTGGCAAATGGCAAGATGGCGGGTGCCATAGTACGCTGTTTTAAGATTCCAAAGAGGCAATTAGGTGATTATTCTCATTTATCGTAGTTTCCTATTAATATGAATTATTGAAAAACGAAAAGTGTGATAAATTTTATTATTTGTGCGTATTATATTGAGAGTTTTCGTTGATATAACGGTTCTTCATTGCTTTTTCTAGGTTAGAGAAGGTTATGTAATGAAACAATTTTAATCACTTTATAGGTCTCTTTGGATCGACATTAACTAATCAGCAACAGAGATTCTTTGCTGATGCTGCACCTGAGGGAAAAGTAAGCCAATTGTTAAATTAATTAAATGTATAGGAGTTATAATTTTGGTTGTAAATATTTCGAAGAATCTTTTCGTTGACAGAAAGTCGGTGGTCCTTTGGCCGATGAAGATCGTATCTTTACCAATTTATATGGCAGACATGATTGGAGGTTAAAGGGTGCATTGAAGAGGGGCGATTGGTATAAGACAAAAGAAATATTAGATAAGGGAGCAGATTGGATCATCAATGAGATTAAGGTTTCAGGATTAAGGGGCCGAGGGGGAGCTGGTTTTCCCTCTGGCATGAAATGGTCCTTTATGAATAAACCATCAGATGGAAGGCCAAAGTATTTAGTAATTAATGGAGATGAAGGAGAACCAGGAACATGTAAAGATCGTGAAATTTTGCGACATGATCCGCACAAACTCGTAGAGGGTTGTTTAATCGCTGGTCGTGCTATGGGAGCTTGTGCAGCGTACATTTACATTCGTGGTGAATTTTATAACGAAGCATCAAATATGCAAGTTGCTATTGCAGAAGCTTATCAAGCAGGATTAATTGGAAAGAATGCTTGCGGTTCTGGTTATAATTTTGACATCTTCGTACAACGTGGAGCAGGAGCATATATATGCGGAGAAGAGACAGCTCTTATTGAGTCTATCGAAGGAAAGCAGGGTAAACCTAGACTAAAGCCACCTTTTCCGGCAGACGTCGGTTTATTTGGATGTCCAACTACAGTTACCAATGTTGAGACAGTAGCAGTAGCACCGGTATGTTTTATTAATTTATTTCTTTACGAAATAATTACATTCTTTTTTTATTCCTTGATTAATCTTATATCTTCTTAGACAATATGCCGACGAGGTGGTGCTTGGTTTGCATCATTTGGAAGGCCACGTAATCATGGTACCAAACTCTTCAATATTTCTGGCCACGTAAATAATCCCTGCACTGTAGAAGAAGAGATGTCCATTCCTTTAAAAGAATTAATCGAAAGACATGCAGGAGGTGTAATCGGTGGTTGGGATAATTTATTAGGTGTAATTCCTGGAGGATCTTCAACTCCAGTCATTCCAAAGAGGTAATATTATATATAGGCATGGGATCCATCAAAGTTATTTGTTAATTAATTTCATTTTTAAATTATAGCGTCTGCGATACTGTACTATTAGATTTTGATGATCTTATTCGTGTACAAAGTGCATTTGGAACAGCTGCAGTCATTGTAATGAACAAGCAAACTGACATTATCAAAGCTATAACTCGTTTGATTAGCTTTTATAAACACGAATCTTGCGGTCAGTGTACACCTTGTCGCGAAGGCATAAGTTGGATGTATAAAATTTTACAAAGGTTCGTGTTAGAAATTAACCATTAACATGTATATGTAATAAATTAAACGGTGACATATATATTACTTCGTATGATTTAGGTTCCAAAAAGGAAACGCTGAAGATCACGAGATAGATATGCTTTGGGAATTAACTAAGCAAATTGAATTGCACACGATTTGTGCTTTAGCCGATGGTGCTGCGTGGCCTGTACAAGGACTCATTCGGCACTTTAGACCTGAAATCGAAGCTCGCATGAAACAAAAACAGCAAGCTGCATGTAATTAATGTGAGGTAGCGTATAAAGAAAAAAAAAAAAAAAACAACAATGTTATCAATAAATCTTTAGTGACAGATATAATACTTTGAATGAAGCGACGAAGAACAAGGAAGGTCTATTGTATAAAATCAAAAAGGAAAAAAAGAAAAAAAAAAGAAAAGGACAGAGTAAAAAAAAGATTGAGCTGGCTAAGAACTTTATCATTTTATATTTATCAGTGTACATGTAATAAGCGAAGATAGACGCGATAGTACGAAAAGTTTCTTATTAGTATAAGATTCTTCCTGATCCTCGTTAATGTTGTTAGACGGATCGGTAAATAAAAGAAAAACAAAAGGAAGACTCATATCTCACTTATGCACATGCGTATCACGTTAATCCTAATTTTATTTATATAGTTATATATGTTAAGGCGAACTGCTGAGGATGATCGGGGCGGGGGGAAGCGGGGAGGAGGAGAAGATTATTTTTAAGTTTCGATAAAACATCATTTTCTATATATTGAACGATAATTTTTTTTTTCTTTCTTTCATTTATTCGTTCATTATACAAGAAAATTCACTAACACTAATGTTCCGCCGACTACGGTACAGGTAATAATAATGGCCCGCTCGTCAATGGCGGTACGATGTGCGTATACAATATATATACATGTATTGTATACATACATTGCATACATATATATAAAAGCGCGTATTCATACCGGCGTCTTTTTTATTTTTATTTTTTATTTTTATTTTTTTATTTTTTATTTTTTATTTTTCATTTTTTATTTTCATCCTCGTCCTCTTCATATTACCATCATCTTCTGTGCCGTTCAATCGGGACTGT